CTCATGCTGCAGGGCACCAAGTGACATATCTCATCTCTATGGCACCAAGTGACACATCTCATGTCTGGGGCACCAAGTGACACATCTCATGTCTGGGGCACCAAGAGACACATCTCATCTCTGGGGCACCAAGTGAGACATCTCATCTCCGGGGCACCAAGTGACACATCTCATCTTTGGGGCACCAAGTGACACATCTCATGTCTGGGGCACCAAGTGACACATCTCATGCTGCAGGGCCAGGTGGCACATCTCATGTCAGGGGCACCAAGTGACACATCTCACCCCAGGGCACCAAGTGACACATCTCATGTCTGGGGCACCAAGTGACGCATCTCATCCCTGGGGCACCAAGTGACACATCTCATCCCCAGGGCACCAAGTGACACATCTCACCCCAGGGGCACCAAGTGACACATCTCATCCCTGGGGCACCGAGGGACACATCTCATCCCCCGTGGCAGCTCTTGGCGCACCCAGGGAGCAGCAAACTCCAGCCTGGCTCTGGAGCGTGACCCGAGCAGCGAACGGGGGGTTTGCAGGTGTGGGCGGTCAGGCAGCTCCCAGGCCCAAGTGGCTCTCCAAATATTACCATATGTTACTGCACTGGGACCAGAAGGGGAGAGGGAGGCACTGTTGGGAGRAAACAGGAAAGCTGCCAAGATAAAGAATTCATTACAGAGGAGTCATGTCGTGATCTCACACTGGAGACGAGTGAAATATTCTGTGTGATTTAACAGTTGGTGAAAATACCCCAAACCACATGCTGCCCTTCCCCCACCCCCTTACACCGACCAGGGTTGCTCAGAGCCTCCAAATCTTTATTTTATTTTCGTCAGAGCTTAAAACCCTGCTGTGCAGTGTGTTACTGCCTTAGTCAGGATTTCAGTCTGGGATGATACTGACCTAGTGTATGTGCTGTATAAAACACCTTTTATTACATGGGTTTAGTGAAGAAATAGGAATTCAGCTTCATAGGGAATGTAACAGGCAAGTSTCTCATCATTTTAGTGTGCAGAAGGGTAACTTCCCTGCGTTTGTAGATAGTGATGCAGTTGGTAACATGGGAAAGCTGCACTATAGATTTGCCAACATGGATTAACATTTCCTCCCAGTCCATCTCTTGGCTGGTGTCCATTTTTCTCTTTTTGAGTTTTTCTTTTAGAAAAAAAAGAAAACAGAAAATAAAAAACAAAAACCCAACCAAATCAGGCTTCACTTGTTCACAGAAACAGGCTGCATGACATTCCCACCATACCTTTGTTCTTCATGAAAGTCTTGGATACACAGCCTGTGCCTGCTGAGATGCACTGAGAGAGTCTGGAAAGGAGGAATGAGCTGGATCACTAGCTGATGTAGCAGAACAATAGAGAGGTTTGGGGTAGAACACACAGAGAACAGTGCCAAAYATCCTAATTATGAACCAGCCTTCAGATTTTTCATGGCTCTGTTTTGGGAGGGTTGTGCAGCCAGATCCWGATGGTGTGGCTGGAAATGTGCATCACCATGACTTTGGTGGGAGAAGATAACTGCTTAATTATGGCCATACTTATGTCTGTATGCTCAGCTCATTAGAAAGTTAAAARCCAGAGAGGCTGATGTCAGCCTACACACAGCTCTGAGAACAGAAACAATAGCAGAGGGAACCATGAACTGGCCTGTTTATATCTATTGTCTATTTGCTTGATGCATAAGGATTATTTGAAGGAAATAGTTTTGTTCTGCTGCTTACCACCTTATTAAAGGCACTTAGAAAATTTGTTTATTGTTGTATGTAAAACATACTAAAGTAAAGTAGGACAGCTGATCACTGGGAATTTTTACCAGTTCATTTAAAATTACCTCTACCACTCTTCCACAAAAAAGCAGAGGAAGAAATTTAGTTCATATTTTATTGCAAAGAGTCGTAGTGTGTAGCCCTAAAATGGGTTATCCATCAGTGAAGTCAGCTGAAGACATCTCCTTTTGGTTGTTTTTGCCTGTCCATTCAGTTGTGCTGCCAAAGATGCTTGYAGGCCAAGCTGTGAACCAGATCACTGAAAACCCCTTGGTTAAATCTTACAACAGACAGACAAATCAAAAATACTGGGAAACTGCAGCCTTTGTTTCCTCCAAATAGTCTGGACTGCAAAACATCYAGCTGCATGTTCTGCAGCTGAGCCATCTGAAAAACTTCAGCTTCCTTCTGATAACWAAAAGGTGAAGTTGCTGCAATCTCAAAAATTGTACTAGCAAAACTGAATGTAATTTAGCTATACTGATAACCCTCTGATTAGAGGAATAGGCAAATTACAGATKTAGAGAAACAATAGGTGTTTTGGGGCACCTTCTGCATAAAACAGGAACGTGCAGATGTAAGCTTGACATTTCCAAGCAGTGAAATTTGGACTAGTGCAAGAGTTTATAAGACTATCTGTGCTGACTTTGTGTATGACAGGAATATTTATGGTGAGATTTTCAGGGAGAGTGAAACTGAACTGAAAAATGATAAAATCAGCCTTTTATTTTTCGGCTTATTAAAAAACACAGCTTGTGAATACATTTGTGGAGTAACCCAAAACCTGAATTTACAGTAGGCTTGGAATTCTGAATAATACTCTGTGTAAATAAAGCATAGTTTACCTTTCCCTGGGAGACAGGTTAACAAGCACATGTATTATGAGTTTATACAGCACAGTAAGAAAGCATGCA